AATAGCGCTGAGACCATTTGTGGTGCCGGGGGAAAGCTTTCTCCATACATCTCCTAGTGATTGAAATTGTCATAAACCAAAGATACAATGTCCACTGAAACTGGGGGTTGATGTACTGCATATTCCACGGCTGCTGGTCAGATGTGACTATTTAATGTAGCAGAAGCTAGGAAAAAATTCTTGATGTAATTAGAATGGCTGCTGGTGGCTGAGGGGTGGCTTGAATGGGGCTTTGCCTCTCAAAGCTGTGGTAACATGCTATCATATTGAAGTTAGTGTTACACAAATAGCTGCAATGGTTTTCCTCACTAGCTGTCCCATGCTGTCAAACCCTTCTTGTACTTCTGTATATCGTAGTTGAGCTGGTTGCATTCCAGCTGTTCAGTGTGACAGCTTGTGTTCCTGCTGTCCTGGGAGTGGGGAGCGTGCTGCAACTCTGGGCTCTCACATGGGTGTGCAGAGGTGCTAAGCACTTACACGTAAAGCACCGTGGCCCGTAATGAGCCTTAAAGTGCATGGTTTGCTTTTCACTGCTTTGACTTAATGCCTTGCACTTTCCTCAGTTATGGTAATGAGGCTGGGCTAATTTCACTTGCTCTTTGCTAGTTTCTCTTTCCAATTCCAATCGCGTGACTTATCGTGACTATGGATTGCAAGGAGGAATTTTTATATAGGGCAAACTGCAATCACCGACTTTGAAAATCGATCAGCGGTCTCCACCAGCAACCAGGCAACCAGCCAGCACATGGCTCTGGTCTCTGCTCACTCTGTTGCTGCACTGGGCTGCGTACTCTGCCTGCCCTCCCTTTGCTTAGGCCACCTTCAGGGTCTGTGGGGTTTCCTTAGGAGAAAAGGTTGGCAGAAATGGGTATACTGCCTCTTGGGCCTCATAGCAGGCTCAGAGCCGCACACCTCTCATTGCTGGTTACAAGCAACAGGAAATACAGAATATTTTTTTAATTTGTTGTTGTAAATCTGTCATGGTATGTGACATAGGCTCGAAGTATTTTTTTCTCCTAAGGAGTTGAGATGCAGAGACTGTGGCCTAGTTTCAGCAGCCCTGTGCACGCTGTTACACATGCAGTGTGCTTTAGAAGTTGAGGAGCTTTCAGGTAGGTACACCTAGGGGCAGACACGCTGTTGCAGATTTAGATGGCAAAAACAACTTTACTCATCATAAATATTTGTTCTTACCACTGCTTACTGCTGAGGCACCCTGGTACTATGGTCAGTGTGGGTGCAGTCTCTGTTGCCACCGGCCATTAGCAGACAGTGCCCATGAGTTCAGTGTTCTGCAGTTCTATGCTAAGATGAACAGAAAGTGGTCACAGCTTGCTCTATTTCTTTAAAAGCTTTACTAAGTAGGTAGTGTTGTCTGTTGCTACACACTCACAGAAGTGCTGCTTTTCCCTGCTTCTAAATGGCTGCCAACAACTCACTGTACCATCTTCCAGGTGCTCTGGAAGCATAGTCATAGAATCATTTGAGTTGCAAGGGACCCCTAAAGGTCATCTAGTCCCAACTTCCCCTGCAGTGAACACGGGTGTGTCTTAGTCATTCTCAAAGGAGTCCATTAGAGACCTAGAAGCCTTGTCCAAATTTAAGTGTATTTCAAGACTTATGAAATAGATCAGACATTCTCATTTTCTGGTGGGAGGATCAGGCAAGGATGCAAAGCTTAGAAAATGTTACATAGACATGAGTTTTATGAGAGACGTGAGTTATTTTCCAGCCAGCAGATATATGCTCTTTCCTGACTTGGAAATTAATATAAAGTTTTAACTGCAGGTTTAAAGGAAACAGGAGATGGTTGGTTTGTGATTGAAAGACTTGCACTCGGTCTGTCTTTGAGTAACTTTGTATTTCTCTGGTCATTCTAGACCCTTGGCTGAGCTCCACATGGAACAGCCTTGGATTGGTTCTTGGGACATCTGTTAATCTATATATAGGGTTCACACACTTGCACACGTAAACAGGTGATCTCCTAAATATACAAAATGGTGTTTGGAACTCTGAGTACTTATTTAAACCAAATGAATTCAGAAGTGAGCTGAATTAATCCTCTTTTTTTTGCCCTCCTCCCAGAATAAACTGTATTGGGAAAAAAAGTGCTGATTGTAAGTTCTGCTTAATATGCATATACATTTACTAATCCCAGGCATTACCTAATAGCTATTAAAAATATCCAGAAAATGACCTTTTTCCTACTCTTGGTTTGGTCCTCTTGACAATTGCTACTTCTTGCTGTGAGGGAATGTGGTGTTTAAAAATAATAGGTGCATAAAATGAGGAGAGAAAAAGGGTAGCAGATGGTAACTGATATAGAACTAAGTTATATTTGGAAAATTCATAAGGGAAGCTGAATTCAGGAAGGGATTTTTGAGCTGTTTGTGAAGTTCGTGTTCTGTCTGACTGACAATGATTTCTAATAAGTCTGGTAGTAGTAGGGAGGTTTCAGAGGAGTGAAAGAGAAGTAGAACCTTGCACTGCTAGTGAAAAAGTGAGAATGATTAACCAGAGGGTGATCTAATATCAGTTCCAGGGGGAAAAAGCTATGGAAAATTTGATAATCTAAATAAGAGCTGCGGTATAATCCTATTATGCAGCTTTTCCATTTTAGGAGAGCAGGTCTGCTCAAGCACGATTTTGTTGTTTTGATACTGGAAATTTGGTTTCCAAGGCTGTTGCCTGGGTGTAACAGACTTGTGTAAGTTCTCTAACGTAGTGCAGTATGTTTTAGTTTCTAAAAGTGTCTTTGAATATAATGATGTCGTGCTTAAGTGGTTTAAGAGCTGCCTGTAATCAAAGAATGTAGAGTTTCTAGTTGGGATCAGCCCATCATGGCCTGGAAACAAGCGCTGCTAAAGGTGTGGAAGGAACAAAGATTAGTGAAGTCATAAATGATCTTAGTGATGGTTTAAAAAAAAAAAAAAAGGTAATATAGGCAAATGGGGACAGTTGGGTGAAATGTGCATAGCTACAGGTGTGTACACCAAGGAGCAGAAAATTCTGTCTGCATCTGAGTGGGAGAACTCATCTCTGAATGTCCTAGTGCTGGGGAAAAGGTGAGTCAGCTGGGAGGTAGGTGGAGGAGATAGCTGGCATAGTGAGGAAGGCAGGGGGTCCCACCAAATAAATAGCCAAGTGGCAAAACCAGCTGACAGATACACTGCTAGATGTGTAAGTGGGAAGAAATGAGTAATGCTGAGCTTATCTGAAGTTAAAGCTAGGGTGGTGGATGCTGTAAGTCAGTGCTTAGCTGGTGTACATTTGGTAAGATGTGCTAGTTTAGGCTACAGAAATGAGCCCCCCAAATGGCTTAGGAGTGGAAAAAATGTCGCATAGTGAGAGTTACCTGGCAGGGCTGAGACTGCTCGCAGGAGGATGAGGTCTCGCCTCCTCTTTGTATTAGTGCTAGCAACAACCCAGCCATGCAGGAGCACTCCTGAACCCCCTGAGAAATCCTTTGGCTTAAGTAAAAGAAAGGTAGCTGGGTTGAACACTGTACGCGGAAGTGCTTTCAGATGTAGGAATTATATTCACATTGTTGTAAACAAAAAAAAAAAAGAAAAACAAAAAAGAATGTCGAGAGCCATTGGAAGCTGGAGCTAGGCAAGTTCGGCCTAGCTGAGGTGAGGATGATTAGCTGCTGTGCAAGCAACCACGGAAGTCATGGTATGTGACATGGGGTTTTCATCTTTCACCAACTTCACATGAAGACCAGATGCCCTATTGGAAGGTGTAGCTCAGTTTAATGCAAAGGGCAGATGGAAGGTTTAAGGAAACAGGTAAAATGGGCTGATGTATGCAAGTAGGTGAAGTGCCATCTTCTGCTTAAGCTTTTTGATCTCTGCTTTAGGGTGTGTACAGTATAAATTTGGGTGTAGTGTAGGAAATGAATGTACTGGACCAAAAGAATACTTAAGAAAGGAAGTGTAAGGGTTGTAATAAGATTGTAGAACAGTTTTGTTCTCTGGTGGTTCTGCTGCATCTGTGTGGACTTCTCTTGAGTGGACTATACAACGTGAACTTGACAGAGAAATTGAAGTTTAAACAAGGAAGATGCCATGCTATTCATACTGTTTTATCTTGAGTGTGCTTAGGAGCTTGGGCTTGACTGCAGATGAGATTCGGTGTCTGTTCTCTCAGGTTGTCCTAAATCGGTGCGTGTGTGCGTGTATGTTTCTTTGCTTTTGCAAGATACCTTTTGTATGGAAGTTGCCCTTGAACATTTGTAAGGACAACTTCTACAATTTTGCTTTGATTATATAGTTTGAATGGAAACTGCTGTTAAAATCTAGCTGCTGAAATTATGAGTGAACTGGTCATTTGCATTTGAAAAAAAAAATAGATAATTGCATCGTACACAGGTAATGCATATATTCTGTTGCACTCCAGTAAGTAGAGGACATTCTAGTGATGAGGGATTCCTTCTGCTGTGGGATAAGGACTCTTGCAGAGATAGCCATGATATTTCATTTTCATGAGATGTTTGTGAAGGTGAAAGAATGTCTCAGTTGAGGAAGGAAATTGGTCCTGTAATTTAGAGAACCTAATGACCCATAATTTTCTCAGATCAATTCAATCTGCACAAAGTAATTTGGGTTTTTAGGAGTCATTAGCAGTTGGAGTGTCACTCTGGTTTTGTTGGAGTACTGTCAGACAGCGTTCTTCTGTTTGTTTTTTAATATTAATGGTTTGTAAGACCTTGATGCTCTAGAAAGAATTGAGAAACAGCTCTGGCTGTGCACATTTTTATCACCCTGCCAAGACCCTTTTCAACTTCCTCCCCTCGTTACCCACAGCAGAACACGGAAACCTCGATGCTTGCAGCCACTTCTGCAATTGCAGCGGTGCAGGGCAGTGCGGTGGGAGGGGATCTGCTTGTTCTGCTGCTCGCTGAACGTCCAAAGAAGAAAACGATGCATTTGAAAATGTGTGCTCAATTGCTTCTCACACTGATGGTTTTCCTTCTCTTCCCTGTCTCTGCTGTTGTGCAGTGCTGCAGTTGAAGCTTCAGCAGCGACGCACACGGGAGGAGCTGGTGAGCCAAGGGATCATGCCGCGTAAGTATCACTTCAACTCTTTCTCTTGATGTTTTTGTGCTTGTTTTTGAGCTGAGACTGGTTTCATGTACGATTTGAAAGGTCTAATTGTCCGTTTCTGAGTGAACAACATCATATACAGGAGCCCCACCCAGTTCCACCGAACTTTGTCCTTGGTTGGTACTCTAGGTATGGGGCCTCCTTTGATACCAAGGAGCAGAGTAAATGGCTTCAAGTGTAACCATACCCCAAAAGAACATTTGTGTTTGATTGTAGTGGAGACAAGTCTCCTGGAGACCATACTGTTAGAAGTGTCATATATTCTTGACGCATGCTGGTAATCGCTCTTCTAACAGGCTTCCTGCCTTTGCAGTTTCTGTTCTTGTTTGTCAGCTCCTCAGACCTCTGAGGCAGCTTCAGCTTTGTATGTTCATATTCCATAAACTTGGTCCAAACTGGCAGTGCGTACAAGATGTTAACGCAGGAGGAGGCATGTTTTATGTTTGTAGCTAGAAAACAAGGCCAGCAAGGGACCTACGGGCATCAGCTAGTTGCTTTCCTGCAAGGGAAGGCAAAATCTGCAGAGCCAGAGAACTTCAGTATACTTGCCTGGGTGGATGCATTGGATGTCCCTTGAGTGAAATAAATTCACTGTCAGGAGGAGAAATAAACACTTTTGTTTTGCTCCCTGCCCTGTCCCACGTGCATCGGTGCCTCTGAACTAAATGGTATGTAGGTAACAACCTGAAGCAAGACCAAAGAACAAGTGTTTAGAGTTCTGCTCAGTTTCACTTCACAGCTTTAGTAAAAGGCAGTGGCTCAGGTAAATGTTTTCTTCTTTCAGAAGTTTACCCCCTTCCCCATTTCACACACCATGAGGACAATATACTAAAGAAATTCTTCTTACTTCTATTTCTGGGGAGCATGCTGTAATACGACACAGCGGCGTGACTCAAACTTTGGTAAAGCCATAAGGTTAGGCTGTCAGCTCTCTCTCTGAATGAAGACAACCTGTCAGCACCACTCTGTCAGCTGAAGCAGCTCACTGGGAGGTAGTGACGTGCTCAAGATGTTTCTCAGCTCCCTGTTTAAAATTCTGTTACCAAATTAAATAGGAAAGATTGTCCTGTCTGGATACAGTTCATCACGCCTATCTTCTTATTTTTACCTGGATAGTTCATACATGTGCTTCTACAGAATGCACTTGATTTTGGAAGAAAAACTCATGTCCTGATGGCTGTGTGATTTGTTAATGCTTCCCAGAAGAAGATACTCCTAAATGTTCTTGACTTCTTTGTGGTCTTCTGCTTTAGGTAGATTGTAGGCAAATACATATTTTGTTCAGTACTGGCTTTCTTCAAGGTGTTGCTGACCAAACTTGTGATTCCTGAGAGGGGTCTGTTTTACAGGCCCTTTGAGAATGAGTCTCTTTCAAGTAGTTCAAGCAAGGCACCCGGAGTAATTAGTCAGTCTTAAATTTGCTTAAAATACAGCCTAAATAACAAGTCTTTGCAGACTTGTACCCTTCATTGCTTCATGTCTTGTACGTGTGAATTTTATGACAGACCAAAGAAGAATGCCCAGTGAAGTATTATTGTGAAAATATTGGCACCACATAAAAAGGCTCTTTCTGCAGTTAAGAGCGGATCTGTTCTAAATATGATTTGAAAGTGTTTCCCTCCAAGCCATGCTGTCATTTACCCATACCTGCCAACTGGGAATAACCACATGTAGGGAAATGTTTAAAACATTCTTCGTCTAGGCCATTTTAATGAGAATATCAATGTGAGATAAATTGTGATCCTTAAAGCAAAGTCCAGTTTTTAACCTGGAAAGTACAGGAGATGACTAAGGACCATGTTCCTGCTGAGGGCATCTTAGATTTACAACAGCTTTGCTCCTACTTTCAGCAGTTCAGAACACTCTTTACTTACCACTGGCAATGTGCAGGTATCCAGAGTTCTATCATATCCTTACCCTGCACACTCTGTGAAAGCATTTAGAAACTTAACTGTGTTCCCATCATCTGCTACAAAGCATGGCTGTACTAAACCCTGACCCTCTCTCGAGTTCATTGCTCAGGAAACCAGCCCTGTGCAGCCCTCTCTCATGGTTTAACAAAATTAAAACATGGAATCAAGAGGGTGGTGTGGTGCTGAATGAAATGAGCCGGCACGGAACACTCCCTCCACAGGAAATGCTGGTTGGCTTCTAGCTTCTTGTTTCCATTTGAAGAGCCTTTACACTCTCAAAAGAGTTGTGGCAGTTGTGATTGTATCTCCATTAGCCTTACAGCTTTGGTTGGAAAGGGGCTTTTGAAGTCAAATTCCTGATTGAACCTTCCTGCTGTACCTCACTTTGCACCACAGAAAGGTCCCAGAGTTTGAGAGTTGTGTTACATTGGGATGAATCTGAATTGAAGATATTCTGCCTGTGCCTAGCATTCATTCAGTCCATTGGAACAGACTAGAGCTCGTCTGGCACAACACCTACTGTTTCACTATCACAGACAGATGGGGATGTCATTTGATCAACATCAACTGTTTTTCTTGGCAAATTTGTAGGTTTTTTTAATGCTATCCTAGGTGTTCAGTAAGATTTAGCATTTAATTCAATTCAATTCCTGGATCCTGCCACCAAGCAGACCTGCAAAAATCTATGAAACAAATACGGTACCTGATACTTCTGGTTCTCCGAATGAAGTACAAATCTTATGTGGTATTTGAATTCAGCTAGTGAATTGTAAGCAAGGATTTGTATTTTCAGGCTTCCTTCCACACAGGGCTGTTGGCCGCTAAGTGGAGAACACATTTTGTGATGCTCATATTAAAGAGCCAGGGAGAGTCACACCGCTCCTGCTTTGCTTGTTCAGAACAAAGCTGGGAGTTGCTTACTTTCCCCCATGTGGAATTCTGTTTATATAATAGAAGGGCAAATGTATCAACATTTTTTTTTACCAAGTACACTTAATCTCGCTTGAGTAGCCTTTCCAGCCCACCAACCACACAGCAGGGCTATGCTTCGCTAAAGAATTAGTGTAATGTAGTTAGAACTAAAACATTTATAAGCAGTGACAGAGGATTCAAAATAATCGAGTTTAATGCTTCATTAATTCCTGTTACTCTTCTGTTATCACTTTACATAACCTTTTACTAGCAGTGGGACTCATTAGTTGAAGATTAGAATTGAATATTGCCCAGAGGAAAGAATTGATAACTGAGTCTCCATCTGCATCTGACGTAGCTGTGATCTGAGCTAGGACTGTACCTTGAAACAAGGAAAGTTTTTACACTTATTCAGGTTTTGGCCTGTTTTGTGATGGTGACAACAGACAAGCTCTTTTGACTATTTGCTTTTTTTTTTTCTTCTTTTTCTTTTGTAAATAAACAGAAGTGATTTTCATCATATTCTCTTAAAATGCAAACTAAACAAAAACCGCTGGTAGTGCTCAGCTAAGCACTCTGCTATGCTGCAGAACAGTCAGATGCTGTCCATTTTTACAGTGTTGAATTTAAAGTTTACAGCTATCGTAAGTATTTTTTGTGAAAATCAAATCTTCAGTTTTTTGCTCTCACAAAGAATGTTTAACACAGCACCTAAGATACATCTGAGTAGGAAGACATGTGGGAAGTGTCTTCAACTAAAACAGTAAAACAACTGAAGAGGAAAGGCATTTGGCCAGTGTAGCAATACTCTGCTTTGCAAAACATGTTGTGCTTTTTCTGTTTGTTTTCTCTTTCTGTTTTAAAGCTTTGCATACCCCTTGCTTGATCAATTGGGATTGTGATCTTTGGCTTCTGCCTGCAGACATGAAATAGAGCCAAGCGGGGAATGTCATCATGCAGCACAGTCCACAGCCCCCAGAGCTGCTCTTTTGACCGTTAGATTCACCTAAACAGATGAAGCAGAAGTAGAAAAGTATTTCTGGGAATGTGCTGTGTGTTGCTCCATAACACTGCTTTGTGACTATCTGCAAGGTGCCTCAGGCACTTAGAAAAGGGCATTGTGTGAGCTGGAGGTTAGGAGGAGAACTTTGAGGAGCTTCCCTTTTGCCTCAGTGTACTTGGCGCTCACCAGTTTTTGTGCCTGCATCCAAGTACTCTGTAGTATATTTGGGTTCTGGGATGCCGTGTATGAGGAGTATATGACTGGATGCAGAAGGCAGGTTAAAAGAAGAAAACAGTGCTGTCCTTTCCAGCATACAGTACTCAGCTCAAGTCCTCGTCAGCTTACTAGTTCCTGCTGGCAATTTTGAATTTTCATCCCATGAGCCCTCTTCTATATCTACTGGATGCAGTACTGGTTTGTAATGTTTTGTCTTCTCTTGCCATGCCAACTGTTCAGTGCAAATCACTTCTTAATTGAAAGCAGAGCCTCCCAGATGCTGCATGGTTAGAAGATAGCAGTTGGAATAGAATCCAGGAAGGACGGAGTCAGTATTGTCTTTCTGACCGTCTGTTTTTACAGGCCTCAGCCCTGAAGTGTTTCTGTGCTATAGGTGTGCAACACTCAGGTGCAGCTTTCTACTTGGACTTGTCTGTCAGTTACTGAGTGTATGCCTGTGCGTGAGGTGTGGGCATCCTGTGCTGCTGGGTTTCAGACTCTCCTGAGGTGGAGATGCTTCAAATCTGGGCTTCACCACCCTCTGAATAAAGTTTTTCTCTCTCCCTAACATCTAACCTAAAACTCCCCTCTTTTAGTTTAAAACCATTCCCCCTTGTTGTATTACAACCTATGTAAAAAGTCATTCCCCTCCTGCTTAGACTCCCCTCAAATACTGGAAGGCCACGGTGAGGTCTGTCCAGAGGGGAGCTGAGGGGAACAAATCCTTTGTGGATATTGTCAAATCCTGATTCCTGTTATAGACAGTGGCTATGGTAGAGCATACTAGAATATTGTCAAAACAAAAGACTTCCCCTGCCAGCTTTTAAAATGTTTTACCAGTTTTACTTGTTGAAGAGGAGCATCTATTGGTGTAAATCGAGGAAAGCAAAGGTAGCAAGCTGTTAGAACACGTGCAG